CGGGCAAGAGCACGCAGGCTCGGAGCATCCGCCGCGTCGCGGGTACACCGGCGATCCGCTGGCGACGCCGACGATGGAGGGAGTCAGGCTCCACGTCGAGCCGCATGGCGGACGCGCAGAACGCGAGGGCACCGCCCCAAAGCCAGGGCTGTGTTCGTGGCCCTCGTGCCGGCTGTGCCATAGCGTCGGTCGGACCCGCGGTGGCTCGAGCAGGGGATCGACTACAGAATTGACGTACCCCACTCTTGTATCTCCCGTCGATCCTACGGAAAAATACGTAGATTGTTCTTACCAGCCTGGAACATATCCCTATCCCTATGCTGGGCACCTCCTCATCACGATGCCAATCTTGGGGATTCCCTTATTTTTTGAAGGCGAATCCTAAAGATTGTCATCGCCTTTTGGCGTGTCAATCTTAGGAATAGGGATACGTTCGAGGCTGGTAATGTTCCTAGATATACGGGACATTCTTCACATGTGTCGTGGTTTCGACTGAAATCAGTCTCGGGGCAAACCAATTCTGCAGTCGAGCCCGCACTCGAGTGGCAGGGGGTTCGAGAGCGGTCGCAGACCGAAGGTGAGCCGCCCCTCCTCGCGCCACCCCCCCCAGTGGAGGGGGAACGCCTGGGAGCACCGGCTCAGACGGGGGCAACGTCGAGCTCGACTCGGCGATGCATCGCCGATGGATCGGCGAGAGGCCCCCGATGGCGAATCCGCATGCTCCTGGGCGGGGGCTGGTGAAGGGGCGCTGGGACACACAAATGAATACACACACAACTAACAGGATCCCCCCTATGTTTTCATATGTTCTGGGTTTGTCTTCCCCCCCACTTTCCATATTTTCCCATATTTTGGGGGGAATCGACGATTGATTGTGTGTCTGTGTTTTTTTCCCTCCTGAGTTGGTCCATCGGGCCCCCATTGGTGACGAATGGGCGATCGGGGGGCTGCCCCTGATCGGTGCGCGCGGCCGGTCACCATCTGCTTGATGAAGTCGCCGTCCTCGATCGTCTTCAGCGCCTGCAGCTGGGCCCGCAGGCTGCCGCTGCGGCCCAGGAAGTTCTTGAGCCAGGCCAGCGAGCCCGTGTTCTCCTCCGTGTAGCCCGTCTTCTGCTGCCCCTCGCCGGAGGAACCAAGAGAACGCACGAGTGAACTAGCAGCTGCTCGCCCGACTGTCTCGGGTCGGCGCCCCCCCTCCCCCCCCCCTTGGCGCGGGAAGCTCGCCAGGGAAGGCGCCAGTGGCGCCGCCGAGGGGGGTCCAGCGCCGACTCGGGAGGTCCGCGCGGGCTGCCCGAAGTACGTGCTCGTGCCCTCCTTGCTCTCCGGGCCTCGATCGACGCCATCGTCGCCTGGACCTTCTGCTCGTCCTCGGCAAGCTTCTTGTCGAGCTTCATGATGGCGTCCACCGAGCAGCCCTCCTCGATGCAGTCGTTGATGGCGGCGATGCACCCCTCGTCGCACTCGAGCACTGGCTGCGGCGGAGGAGGGACGTCGGATTCCAGCTCCACTCCGACGTTCACCTCTGGGAGGCCACCCGACTGGGGCCAGAGCAGGTGGGTCCAGAGGATCGCACTGCACCGCCGACGCATCGGCGACGCATCGGCGAGGTCGGGATGGCGAGAACCAGAGTGCGGATCGCTCGGCGATGAGGGACGGCCCTCCGACCCCGTTTGCTCTAGCACAGCTACCATCTTGGATACATTCCTGATATCCCCAGGGCCCATCCATAGCCCACAGAGGGCGACATACCCCCAAAACAACCAAATCGAAGAGAGCGCCCGGATCGATGCAGAACACGAAATCGGAAAGCTCAATCTGACGGAGGTCTGGACCCGTCCCCGCCAGCACCACGGCCAGAACTTCTCGAGCTGGACGCGGCCATTCGAAGCCTCCCAGAGGGCCCAGCGGGGCCCAAAACATGTCAAGTCATCCGCCCCAGTTCTGGGCATGGGTCCTCCCTCAAAGCCTCGAAACTGGCGGTTGTCTCGTCCAAGGGTTGAGGCCATCGAGGCCCTGCGGATGCAGGGTCCAGGGTGTTAAAAGTGGTCGTTTACGCCCGTCAGACGACTGCGATTCGCAACTCGCGTGCGCCTCCTCTTCCTCCTCCTCCTTCTTCTTCTTCTTCTTCTTCTAATTCGTATTAATATTAGGAGTATGAATAATCACAGTCTGCGTATGTTTTAATATGCAGTATCATTGTTCGTCGTCTTAACATTATGATTCGTATTACTATTATCTGTATTGTTAGTATTATAAGTATGTTCCGTAGCATTAGTGTTCTTATTATTATTCGCAATCGTCGTATTCGTCTTGTTATTATTATTCATATTCTTATTATGATGATTATGATTACTAGAATTACTAGTATTGTTATTAGTATTATTGTTATTCGTCGTCTTCTTCCTATTGATAGGATTCGTCTTCTTCTTCGTAGTCTCATTATTAATATTACTATTCATGTTAGTATCATCCTCCTCCTTCTCCTCCTCCTCCTGCTCCTCCTCCTCCGCCCTCCTCATCCTCCTCCTCCGCCTCCGCCTCCGCCTCCTCCTCCTCCTCCTACTCTTCCTCGTCCTCCTCCTCCTCCTCCGACTCCTCCTCCTCCGACTCCGCCTCCTCCGACTCGCTCATCCGCCTCCTCCTTACTCGCTCCTCCTCCTTCTCCTCCTCCTCCTCCTCCTCCTCCCCCGCTCCTCCACCCTCCTCCTCCTCTCTCCTCCTCCTCCCCCTCCTCCACCCTCCTCCTCCTCCTCCTCCTCCTCCTCCTCCTTCCTCCTACCTCCTCCTCCTCCTCCTCCTCCTCCTCCTCCTCCTCCTCCTCTGCCTCCTCTGCCTCCTCCTCCTCCCCCCTCCACCACTCCGAAAAAAAAGTCCGGAGCCTTCCCCGAGTCGAACGCGCCGCGGGCCACGCGGGGGGCGGCCGCAACCCGCCCGGTGCCCAGGAAGGCCACCCGCAGACCCGCGCCGCACAGCAGGCAGAGGGCCACCAGGGTCAGCGGGGCGGAGCGCATCGGCGGCATCGCCTCGGGCGGCGGCGGCGACGGCGGCGACGGAGGCGGCGACGGCGGCGGCGGCGACCACGGCGGAGACGGCGGCGGCGGCGGCGGCGGCGGCCGCGGTGGCCACGACGGCGGCGGCGGCGACCACGGCGGAGACGGCGGCGGCGGCGGCGGCGGCGGCAACGACCACGACGGCGGCCACGGCAACGGCGGCGACTACAGCGCCAGCCACGGCGACGGCGGCGACTACAGCGGCGGCCACGGCGGAGACGACGGCGGCGGCGGCGGCGGCAGCGGCCCACGGCGGCACGGCGGCAAGCGCGGCGGAGGGGAGCCCACCGTCGTCCGCGAGGTTGGTGGCGGCGGGGCTGGGTAGTGGCCCGAGCGAGACGGTGGTCTGAGCCAAAAAACGGCTGTGGAGGGGGACGCTCCCTTGGGACGCCCGATAGAACCCTGCCAGGGGTGCTTCCCTGGAGCCTGGAGTGCCCGAAGGCACCTACCAGACGCTTTTGGGGGGGGGCCCAAAGTGCTTGCACGGACGCCTCCCTGAAGCGCCCGAGGGTATCTGCCAGACGCCTCCTTGGGGCGCCTCGAAGCACTTCCTTGCAGAGACGCGTCCCTGGCACGCCCCGCGGTCCCTGTCAGGACGCTTCCCTCTGGGGCGCGCGAAGGTGCAGCCGAAGCCAGCCACCACGACGGAGCGTGAGGATCGATGCAAGGCTCGGCTGCACGGAGGAGTGGCCCAGAGCCAAAGCGACCCCTCCTACTCCTCCTCCTCCTCCTCCTCCTCCTCCTCCCCCTCCCCCTCCTCCTCCTCCTCCTCCTCCTCCTCCTCCTCCTCCTCCTCCTCCTCCTCCTCCTCCTCCTCCTCCTCTTCCTCTAAGGGGGGAGGGAGGACCTGCCGGGTACAGCTGCAGACGCCCCTCCAGAAATGGGGGAGAGATCCCCAGAAGCGGGCGACGGGCGTGCTACGCACGCTGTGCCCCTTGAGAAAGACCAGTAGAAATGACTGCAATTCTGATGTGGAACGTCGGCTCGAGAAAGCAAGTGGCACAATGACGTCCAAAATGGGGAGGAGGGAGGGAGGGAGGGAGAGGAGGGGGGATGCAGCCTGCATGCTCGTGCTCATGCGTGCACATGTCCACCTTCGCTTCGCATCGGTGTGGCCAGAATGCGCCCGCCACGACGCATATACTGTAAGATTTCTCGGTGCGCGCGTCGCCCCTGGGGGGCGACGCACATATAAAATAAGTATGTTGGGGTGACGCCGAGACCACGCGAATCACAATCGGCGGTGGACAAACCTCCCTTTAGTAAGCCTCCCCTTAGCGAAACCGGCCTAGGACCGAAACCGACGGGCCTGGACCCGCAGAAATGACGGCCGCGACGCCCTCTCGCGAACCGAGAACGGCCAATTCCTTCATGGACGCGTAAGGGTAGGAGGCCTATCGACCTCCGACGCAAAAAAATAACGTGTCAGCTGGCACACGGATGGCAGCCGGCTTCTTTTTCGCAGTGGTGTCGTCGCTGGAGACGTCCTTGCATGAACGCCCAGACGCCAGAGCTCGTGCAACGGCCACACAGATCGAGGGCGGCTCGTGTTCACGAGGGGGCTGTCCCCGGGCACGCCCCCGAGCTGCACGGCCTCGCCCTGCCGCAGGCACCACACGGGCTCGCAGGACGGAAGACAGCTTCTCTCGAAGCGCAGCCTCCGCCTGGTGGACGAGCCCAGGGGGGCGCTCGTCATTCAGGGGGGGGAGAGGGGAGGGCGATTCGAGGAGTGAGAAAAATGGCCTTGCAAGGGCTAGTTGGGACGGGTCACGGGACGGATGGGTTTGCTAAGGTCCTCCTCCTCCTCCTCCTCCTCCTCCTCCTCCTCCACCCTCCTCCTCCTCCTCCTCCTCCTCAGCAGCAGCAGCAGCATCAGCATCAGCATCATCATCATCATCAGCATCATCATCATCATCATCATCATCATCATCATCATCATCATCATCATCA